TGTAGCTTGTCCATCAGCGCCTGATCACACCCAGTCCCGCCCACTGCCTTCTGGATTGACAGTTTTGAACCCCTCCCACTGTGATCTGCAGTGTCTGGGATGGGGAGCGGGGCAGAGATGCATGGAGGAGGAAGATTTGGCTCAGTGAGGGTAGATGAAGGAAGTTTGTTCAGCCGGTCACACCGCAGCCTTCCCTCCCTTCACTGGGAGCCTGATTGCTGTGTGTATTGTATGTGTACTATTGTGGATTGGCACCCCCTGGTAATGCTCTGGTACTTTTGGGTATGGAAAGTCATGTGACCTTCCGTGTCGCTGCAGCCAATCTCTAGGCCGCTCCTTGGCCATGTGCAAGCTCCAGCTAGGAGTATGAGACCCGCGTGTACATTGGGGGGGGACACGACTGAATGGCCTCCTGGCTACAGATCCGGCATCCTTCCTGTCACTGTGTGTGTGTGTGTGTGTGTGTGTGTGTGTGTGATGTGTGATGTGTGTGGTGTGTGTGTGATGTGTGATGTGTGTGTGTGTGTCTGTCACTGTTGTATATTTTGTACTCTGCCATCGCTGATCACCAACCAGTCCTGCCTGCGGCTGTCATATATATTTAATCAGTGACCTGGAAGATGAGCGGTGGGGGAGAGGTCAGAGTGAGACAATCTATGATTATCCTCGGTCAATGCCCCAGAACACACTGCCCCCACCTCCCCCGGGGAATGAATTGACAGGAAAATGGGTCAGGGTCAGGACTGGTTCTCTTTGCACACAGTGTGAATGGGCCCCAATGACCGAGCATTGTACCGGAGATGCTGAGCCGCCAGAGGCCGATTCATCGACTGACCGTGATTTCTCCTTTTTATAGTTTCGACACTTTTATTTTAACCCCGTCATTGTTGTTTTCTCGGCGTGGGACTTTTATCCGCAGACACGGCCGGCTTATGTAATCTTCCTGACGACTTCTTCCTGTTTTTATGTCAGGTCTGCTGATCCTTCGCTGAGTTCGATCTTCTATATTCGGGCCGTTCCGTCCTCTCCTCTGACGAGGCGCTCGGCGTTCCGTCCTCTCCTCTGACGAGGCGCTCGGCGTTCCGTCCTCTCCTCTGACGAGGCGCTCGGCGTTCCGTCCTCTCCTCTGACGAGGCGCTCGGCGTTCCGTCCTCTCCTCTGACGAGGCCCTCGGCGTTCCGTTTATTACACTGCAGTGCACAGTAATGCATGCGCTGCAACTTCTGCCAGAAAACATGGCAATGCACCAGCAAGCCCAGCATGCAGTAGACTGCACATGCGCAGATGCCGTGTCTTTGGCGCCTGTGATATGGTCTCCCTTTGCTAAGGGCTCATTCACACCATGTGCGTCGCTCAACGCAGGCTCATCACAAGAGTGCATTGGGCACGGCTGTCTTCTGTGTGCCCTGTTCACGCCATCCATGCATGTTGCAGAATGTGTGCATGTGTAGCTCTGTATACAGCTCGGGTATGTGCGGGGGTAAATGACCTCCTGTATGGAGGGCAAAGAAGGGCAGACGGCTTAGGGGGGAACAATTGCCCCCCAAACTAGGTTTCTCCTTCTGCCGAAGTCCCAGCTTTGCCCTTCTACAGGAGAGGGTGACGCGTGATGTAACGTCTGCCCAATCGGCTGATGGCTCCGGGGGCCCCGGGTTCTTCATGGGTTGTAGTAACGGCCGGTACACTTGGTGACCCCCCCCTCCTCATTCCCCCCCCTCCCCATAGTGTTGTGTACAGCAATATATTTGGGCTTATCATGTGACTCAGCAGATGGTCCCCCACCCACCAGACCAACAGAGGAAGACTTTATCAGATGGCCGGACTGCAGTGGCAGAGCCTCCCTTTTTTGGGGGGGAGGGGGGAGGTTATGCTCCAAGTACATTGACTGTTCACATTTCTAATACTTCGTATTTTTATTTTTTTATTATGACTTTTTTTTTTCTTTTTGAGGATTTTTAGTAGTGTTTTCTTGTAGGAGTAACACACAAGCTGGAGCCTCCCAGGTTTCTCTTTTTTTTCCCCCTCCTTTCAACTGCTGGTTGCCTGGCCGCCATTTTTGATTTTTCAGGCTTTAATACTCGGTTTGTGTAACTTTCAGTCCATTGGCTTTTTCTCAGAATGTCACATCCGTATTTTTCTCATGACAGGTGCACTTGAAGCTGCAGAGCCCTTCATCTCTTTAGGCTTTCACTCCGGCTTGTTTTGTGGCTCATTCCCAAAATGGTGCCGCCCCGCCCCTTGTGTTGCCTGTGCCGCCCCGCCCCTTGTGTTGCCTGAGGGGGGCAAACTCTGATGGTGAAACCCTCCCACTGTGAGCTGCAGTGTGTGAGAGGGGTGGTGAGTGAGACACAAAGGAGGGTAAAGGAAGTCTTTGGATGAATTTGAGGCTTGTGCATCGCATGGTAACTGGGTTTGGGGTGGGCAATCGTTGGAGCCTCTAGCTGTACTTTAGCGGGACTCCACCATACATGAGGACGCATGAAGGTCAGGGTAACGGCTCACGGAGTTTGAAGGACTAAGTTTAGTGTTTGTGAGCACTTGCCTAGCAACCTCCATTCACATTTATGGCGAGCACCTGATCACACCGGTTTGTTGCCGGAGCCTTGCTGTGTCTCCGGGATTCTCTGCAGTCCTTCTGGTGATGGGTTATCCAGTGGTAGGAAATCAAGAGAAACCGGACTTTCTGCTTCTTCTCAAAGTGAACCTGCATCAAGCGGTTGTCATTGCTGACCTTCAGAAAGGCGCGTTCCCCCCGGTTGTCTCTGACCGATTATTTGAGATATGACTGGGAACCATGCAGATCGGGGGAAGTCAGAACTGGGAACCATGCAGATCGGGGGAAGTCAGAACTGGGAACCATGCAGGTCAGGAAGTCAGAACTGGGAACCATGCAGGTCAGGAAGTCAGAACTGGGAACCATGCAGGTCAGGAAGTCAGAACTGGGAACCATGCAGGTCAGGAAGTCAGAACTGGGAACCATGCAGATCGGGGGAAGTCAGAACCGGGAACCATGCAGATCGGGGGAAGTCAGAACTGGGAACCATGCAGGTCAGGGAAGTCAGAACTGGCAACCATGCAGATCAGGGGGAAGTCAGGATTGGGAACCATGCAGATCGGGGGAAGTCAGAACTGGGAACCATGCAGATCGGGGAAGTCAGAACTGGGAACCATGCAGGTCAGGGAAGTCAGAACTGGGAACCATGTAGGTCAGGGAAGTCAGAACTGGGAACCATGCAGGTCAGGGAAGTCAGAACTGGTAATCTACATAACCTGCTTTCCTGAAAATAAGACTAGTACTATTTTTGGGAATTGCTAAAATATAAGACCTTCCCCCGAAAATAAGACCTAGTTGTGACCATTCCCAGGGCCGGCGGTGGCATAAGGGGGAACTTGAAGAGCCGCGGGAGAGAATCAGCGGTGCCAACAAAGCCGGCGCTAGAGGAAGCGAGGCGGCACCGGAGGGAGCAGATGCCTCCTCTATAGTGCCGGCTCCTGTCACAGGCGGAGTCATACCAAATGCGCTCCGCCTGTGAGGAATCCATTGTGAAAGCGCGCTTCGCCCATTCTGGCCAGCGATTGGTTACCAAATTGCTCTTGGAAAGGTACGGCACCCCTGGTTGCCCTATTAACTTTGCCACTCACTCCTGTCTTGTAAGTCTTCTACTGGTAATAAGTGCGGATTGTTGTACATTAAAAAAAATAAGACCTAGTGCGGGTTTTTTTTTTTGTTTTTTTTTTGAGCCCAAAAAAATAGACCGTGTCTTATTTTCGGGGAAACGCGGTAGTTTGACCAGAGTCTGCAGTATAAATAGTCGAGGAACCAGTATTGTCCAATGGGGAGGTCCAGAATAGAACCTTCCGTACTCCTTACTGGAGACTTCCTTCAAGTCTTTGGCATCTGCCGCCTTTTTCGTGTCGTCCAGTGCGGGGGATTTCCCTGAAATGTAGACCCTTCTGGGTAGTCCAGGTACCGCAACACCATGCACATGGGACGGGCATTAAGATTGAGGTTTCATGACAGGAGGACTCCAGATGCTGAGATGAAGATGTGAATGTTGCGTTATAAAGGAACCTTCGTTACACATTAACGCTCTTCTGCGTGTAAAAATGGCTTTTACCTGGCGTCCTGGCTAATTATTAACCCTTTATCTTCTCTGTGAGAGGAATGCGCAGCAGTGCCAACAAAGCCACGCTTTAAGCTGGGCCTCTACAGTTCAGATTTTGGCCGATTTTCCTGCTCGATTGGCCAACATTGAGCTGTGGGGAGCCTTCCGACACCACCTGGTCTGAGCAAACTTTATCCTATCAGACTCGTGAAGGGGTATTTTATAGAGGTGCACCGAAATGGAAATTCTAAAACCGAAATAAAAAAAAAAATGTCGGGCCGAAACCGCAAATGTTTGTTTTATTTTAATTTTTTTGTAATATTTTATTACATTTTTATTTTTTACTTTTAAGGGCTTCGGGGAAATATTGGGGGTCTAAATAGATCCCTGATATTTCTCTTTCAAAATAGAAAAAGAGATTGAGGACGCAGGGCCCTCAGACACACGCAGAGCCCTCAATCTCTTTTTCTGCAGCAACATGTTCTGCTGAGGAGAGGTTGGTAGGGATTCACCGGAATTTCGTCCACCAAAGAAATGCTACTATGGGCAAAATGGTCGCAAGTTCGGTACATCCCTAGCTTCACTAATTCCCGCTTGGGTGCTAGTCTGTGTCCCCTCTAATCCCTGCTGCTCCCACCTGTGTCGGCAGGGATCACAGGGGGGCACAAACCAGCACCCAGTGGGGAGAAGAGAAGCTTTTAGGAGGCCGGGTGGTGTGGGGAGGAGTCGGCTGTCACAAGAGGCCGAGTTCT